CTCATCTTCGCCGAAGTGGTTAATTAGTTAATTAGCCTATTGTTGATTGATTAACCGCAGGTGCTCATCCTCATCTTCGCCGAAGCGCTCGGCCTCTACGGACTCATCGTCGGCCTCATCCTGTCGGCTAAAGCCAGCTCCTGAATCCGCTCTTGAAGCGCGCCGCCGGCCGTGGCGCAGAGGCGTGAGCGCCGCGCCGCACGGCCGTCGCCGCCAGTCTGCTGCGCTCCCCGCCGTTTTGCTTTCGCCGGGTGATCCGCCGCGCGCTGCGCGCTGGCGCTGGCCGCTGCCTCTCTCTTCCCCCGCGGCTGCCCCCCTTAGCCTGTGACTTTGTGAGAGGAGAGCGTCGGGCAGCGCGCTCGGCGCAAGGGAGGGCAGGTCGACTGGAGTAGAGGCCCTGTACGTTGCCTGGTATGGATAAAATGAAGACAGAAATAAGTGGATCGAGAGAGTCCGACACCGAGAGACGACGCGAGAGGTGGAGAGGACTCTCCGTGCACGGACGCGCAACAGTCACACAGGCACACATAGTCTCGGAGTTTACGCCAACAGCAGGCGGTTGTCATGACGCGTACGCCAGGCGCGTAAAGTCGACGACGGAGTGGAAGGTGACGCTATCGCCGTGCCGCATAAAGACGCTGCCGCACGACGCGTTTGGCTTGATCGCGTATCCGCTGCTCAGCAGGAAAGCGCCCTCCTGCCCCTCGCCCTTGCAGTAGCGTGCGTTGAAGACCTCTAGCAGCCGCGACAGCCGCGCCGTGTGCGCCACGCCCGCGTACACAAGCGCGTGGCTCTGTCCGGGCTTGAGCGGCGTGTTGTCGTCCACCGTCACCCGGAAGAGCAGCTTCGCGTCGTCGGCAAGCGCTTGGATCGCCTCGCCCTGCTCCTGCTTGAAACGCTCGTACACCTCGCGCTCCGCCAGGTTGGACGCAGTGCAGAGCACCACGCCGCCGCCCTCGTCGCTGAAGCTCGCCGCCACCATGGTGGCTCAGCCAAAAAAAAGAAAAAAGAACGGAAAGCTCAAAAAGAACAAACTCGGCGGTCTCGTGGCGTTCAGGGCGGCTCGCACACGCACACGCACACACACACACACACACACACACACACACACACACACACACACACATGCAGTGAGTGAGTGAGTATTCTTGATACGAAACCACGACGACACACCAGTCGACTCGCATCGGTTGCCTCCATGAACGGCGGAGCTATTCTCGCGCCCACACTACACCTGGCTCCAACACGTGGACACGCCCATAGCTGGGGACACTACTAGGTCACGCATGGCATCACAGAAGTTTTATCTCTGGGCCCCGAAAGGCATCTCTAGCAGTGTCGTTACACATGCCCCCTCCCCTCCTGGGCGCATGCGCCTCACGTCTCGCCAGAGCATAAGCCCTTGGCGTGTGGCGAGACGAGTTTTTCGCCATGCAGCGAGCAGCAAGCCGCCCGCCGCAAACAGCCGGAGGCCTCGCCGCGGCACTGGCTGCGCCGCGGTCCCGCACCCGTCGACGCAGCTCCCCCCGCGGAAGACCGCGCGTAGCGACGTCTTGACGATCGAGATGAGCGTGCCTGAAGCTCGCCCACCTACTGCACACACACACACTCACACACATGCACACATGCACACATGCACACACATGCATGCATGCACAGACACACAGCCCCTATGGTCAGAAAGGAAGCGCCGCAGCCGAACCGTGCACAGACGCGGTGGCGGCGCAAAAAAGTCAAAGTAGTCCGTGCCCACGCCGGCCGCGCCGAACGGTGGGTCCAAGATCTCGCCGCGGGCGTACGCCGGTGCGACTAGCGTCCGGCCGAGCCGCTGCGCGAGCAAGGCGCCAAGCACCATGCAATAGCGCTGGTTTGAGAATCGCTCGACACGGTTGTCCAGGAGGATGTAGCGCGCAGCGCAGGCAGAGGAAGCACTGTGAGACATGTTCGTGTGCCCGGCTGCCGAGGTCGGAGCGATTGCCGCGTGCCCAACAGCGCCGTCAAGGAGAACTTAGCCCAATGGCTGATAGCGGCCGACGCACGAAACTTGCGCGCCCTTAGGAATTCACTATTGTGATGTTAGAGGTGGGTTAAGAGGGAGATTCGCGCGAGCTGCGGAATTCCTACCTAGGTACGGAGGGGGGGAAGTAATCTGAAACCGCAACGATGCATGCGTGCAGCACGAACGGCTGCGATTCAGCGGTCGCGCCGCTGAGCGTTCAGGTCGAGCTCGCGGCGAGCTGAGCAAGATCATCCAGCGGCGCGACAGCTGAATCGCAAGCGTTGAGGAACGCGAGACAGATGAATTCCTATCGAAGCTGCTAGTGTGTACTTGTTAACCCGCTGCCCGGACGCCAGCACACACGGCTAGATTTCATGGCTAGTGTGCGCTAGGGGACTGACCCAAAGGTCGCGCCCCCCTAGTGGCGCGGTCGGTCTAGGGTACCATACTTCCCGGCCGGTGTGCGGGGAGCGAATCTTAACGACCGCCCAGAAGCTTTCTGAGCGAACCAATCGGGCCAGGATCATCAGCATATGTCCCCTCCACAACATCGTGGGCGATTGAGCGGTATTTGAGGAGCACCGCCACTCTGAAGTTCGGCCGGGTGGTCTGCAGACCCCCCCCCCCGGAGCAGCAGAGGCTCCGTGGGGTCGCAGAGTCGACGCTGGGAGTCGGACTCGTCAAGCCATCGCAGCACCACGCGGTCTGCACGTACCGCCCACATCCCCTCCACCGCTGAGAAGGCGCAGATCGACCGCCGGGCCGCGTAGCCGTCGTTAAGGAGCGGTTTTTGGAGCCGTACGAAGAGGTCCCAGACGGGCGAACATGCGGTTTTTCGATGACCATGCGCGATGTGGTATCTGCTTTTTGCTAAAAACGGGCCGCCTAGTGCAGCATCACTAGTACAACACGTAACCACACTTAGAGCTCCACAGTAGATGTTTTTGACGAGCGCCGACGGCGTCACGGTCGCCGGAGTGGACGCACTGCACACACACTGTGACCGTGTCGTGGGTGTGACAGTGAGCGACACAACCGTCGGCGCCGCGCTATCGCGGCGCCCCGCAGTCTACACGCCTCAGGCGCACCCCTGAAGGCGCCATGAGCGCGCAGGCACATAGCAGCGCCGCGCCAAAAGGTCATTCCCTCACCCGACCCGCGGCTCCACCATCGATGGCTGCAGCGGTCCGCTCACCTGCAGAGGGCAAAAACGTGTAGCGTAACAGACGAGTTGTGACGATCAGTGCTGGCGGAGGCCTCATCGCCGCGAATGCTGCCAGTCGCAGCGGGATCTGACGTCGCGTTCGAGGTGTGCATTGGCGGCGGGGTCGCATGGCTGAGAGAGGCAGAGGCAGCAGGCGGGTGGTGGGGCGGCACCTGTTGCTGCCATGGGCAGCGCCGAGCCGCGGCGGAGTCGCTCCGTAGGTTCATGTTGAGCCGCACGAGTGCGCCGACCCGTCGCGAGGTGCCTGCGCGGGGGTGATGTCGCGCCGATGGCTGAGTACGTGCGGCGTGAGCGGGCTTTGTGCGAAGGGGCGGCGCGAGAGGTGAGCCGGCGGGCGCGCCGGCGGTCGAGTTACCGAACAATTCGACGTGGCGCAGCTCCGCGCCGGCGGGGACGACCGAGCACATGATGTCGGCGGCGGTCACGCGACGAGAGAGAGCCGCAGGGGCCCTCTGAGAGCCAGGCGCCGAAAAGCAGCGTGAGCGGCGGCCGCGATCAGCCACCTGTGGGCGGTCATCGGGGTCGCGGTCAAGCTCGCGACGGGGTGAATCTGGTGCGTCTAGTATCACTGGTGAGCTGGGTGTGCAGCAGCAGCGCTCAAAAAGAGGGAAAAAACTCGGCAACTGTTTGGAGTGTCTACATTCTCGAGGCACCGTTCTCGGCCCGGCCGGAAAGCTGGCTGGTGGTCGCGCGCGGCGCGTCAGCGCCACTCCGACTGGTCGGGCACCTCGGCTGGGTCCATCGGCAAGAGGCCCGCGCCGTCGGGCGGCCCCGGGAGCGCATGATGCCCCTCCGAGAGGCGCTGACGCCCCGCCGAGATCGCGCTGGTTTGGCACGAAAAGACGACGAGCCAGGGGGGGGGTCAAGTATGGTACCCTAGATCGGGCTTTACACCCTCGTGTGGGAAGCCTACCTTTGCCCCTAGCAATGCTGCGAGACGGAATTTCGGCAGAAGCCCTACGGGGGCATGCCGAGGGACGTCGTCGCGGCCTAGCTCCATCCTGCCTGGGTGGGGCGGGCGGGCGCGTAAGACGCGCCACCATCGTGGCAGTGACACGTGCTGGAGGGGTGTCGTCTGCATCCTATAGCCCAATCAGCGCCTCCAGCCCGCCCGCCTTCGCAATCGCGACCATGTTGTCGGCGTTGGTAGCCAGGTTCTTCAACGCACTCGCCGCATTCTCCTTGCCCACCGGCGTCCCGCTGCCCAGCAGCTCGATCAGCGCCTCCAGCCCGCCCGCCTTCGCGATCGCGACCTTGTTGTCGGCGTTGACAGACAGGTTCCACAACGCACTCGCCGCCTTCTGTTTTTTCTTTCTTTCTTTATTTTACACATGTAACTGCACTCCAAGTGCTCCAACTCCAAGGGAATTTCGCCGCGTGCTCCGATGTAGGTTTTCGGTGCGGGGATTGCATCACTCGGCTCTCGAGGTCCTCGCACCCTCGTCCTCTCTCCTCTCGCCGCCGCCCTCGCCGGCACCCCCTCCCCCGCGGCTGATCGCCACTGCCGCAAGCACGACCGCAGCGCCCGCGAAGCCCTGCGGCCCAAGCGTCTCGCCGAGCAGCAAGTAGCTGAAGCCCGCCGCGTAGCAAGGGTCGAGGGCGTAGAGCAGCGCCGCGTCCTGCGCGCCCACCCGCGCCTGGCCGTACGCCTGCAGCCACTGCGCCACGAACGTGGTCACGACGGCGAGGTAGCAGATCTGCGGCGAGCTCTCCCCCAGCGCCCGCGCAGCCTCCATCAGCGGCACCGGCGCCGCTCCCCCGGCACCGCCCACCTCTGCGGCCGCCAGGAGCGCAAAGTATCCCGCCGCGCAAGTCAGCGTCGCCGCATTCAGCTCCGCCGGCTCGGGCGGCGCTGCGCCTGCGGCCGCCGCCTCGAGGCGGAGAATGAAGCATGCGGACGCGACCGCAGCAGCGAGCGACCACGCGTCCCCGACGTTGGGCGGAGAGCCGTCGGAGGCGAGCAGGCCGGTGCCGCAGACGGCGAGGAGTGCGGAGACCCACGTGCGGGGTGGCGAGGTGCGGCCGTAGAGCAGGAGCGCGAGCAGCGGCACCAGCTTCACGTTCAGGTACAGCAGAAACGCAGACCGACCGGCGCTCGTCGTCTCAAGGCCAACCGACTGCAGCGCAAAGCCGAGGCACGACCACAGGCCGAGCTCGGCGCCGGCGGCCCACGTGGCCGACGCCGGCGGAGCATCCGCGGCCGGCGGCCGCCGCGGCCGCCACGGCGCGCCCGGCGCCCACGGAAGCGCGCAGACCGCCGCGAGACCGAAGCGCGCCGCGTTGAAGGCTGCGGGAGACACGTCCGAGACGACGTCTTTGATGACGGCGTGCTGCGAGCCCCAGAGGAGCGTGCAGCCGTTCAGCGCCACGAGGGCCTGCCACAGCTCCGGCCGCGGCGAGGGCGACGGAGGCGCCCAAGCTGCGTCCTGCAGCGGCGGCTCCTCGAGGACGAGGGCCGGCCGCGAGCTGCGGCGGGAGAGAGGCACGCGCGGCGCGACGGCCGGCGGCCCCACGACGGCGCGCGCGACCGCTGGCGCGGCGAGGAGGAGCAGCATATGTGAGTAATAATCTACACCCAGTACACACAGCCGGGCGTTGTCCCGCGCGATCCGCGCGCGGTCGGCGCAGGCGTGTAAAAAAAAATTGCCCCGCGCAGCAACCGTCGGGCGACGACCCGGGGGCCAAAAACCCGGCGACGACGGCGCTCTGGATGGGGCGTGACCTCCTGCCTCCAACCTCCTTCCTTTTTGAGCAGGTGTGACGCCGCGCGAGCGACGCTCCGAGATCGCCCGAGATAGCGCGGCGCGGCCCCGAGATCGCCCGAGATAGCGCGAGATCGCCCGAGATAGCGCGGCGCGGCCCCGAGATCGCCCGAGATAGCGCGAGATCGCCCGAGATCGCGCGGCGCGGCCCGGGGCGGGGTGGATGGGTTGGGAGCGAGGGGGCGGAAGTGCTCAGGCCAACACTATTGGCTTTTGAGACGGCCTTTGAGGCAGGCGGAGGCGGTGGCTCAACGTGAGGGCGGAGCGGCTGGCTCGACAGATTGTGATCGTGCAATTCTTGCCTGCTGCCCCGCAGGATGCAAGCCACGTCCGCCTGTGATTCGCAGACCCGACCCGTACGCAAAATAGCGGGCATGCAGCACTGGCGTGGCCCGCCAGGGCGACTGGAGCAGCCGTGTCCGCCGCACAGCCCGCAAGTAGCGTTGCAGCAGACATGATGGGTCGGGTGCACAACGCCGGCCGAGCAGTCGGCGAAGCGACGAGAGGAGGCCGTGTGCTCCACGGGCCTGATGGTGAGGTTGAGATGGTGTTGGATGACCAGGCGGTGCGTCTCCGCCGACGGCGAGAAGGACGAAAACATCTCGGGCGCGGGTCGAGGCTCGGTAGGCGCCGAATGTCACGCGCAAGTTTCGCTCTCGAGGTTTCGCTGGGCTGGAACCTTGAGGTGTGTGCACCCTGCCCTTCCCCCCAAACAGCTCGAATCCAGCTTCAGGCCCTGCGGCGGCGATGGTCCTCAGATCAAACCTGCCCCGCTCGCAGATCCTCCAGCTCCTGCCGGCGCTGCTGCCTGCGGCGACCTGGCGGCCGCTGCCAGCCATCGCCGTCGGAGGCGTCTCGTCGGGCGACCAGGGGCAGATTGCCGGCGACAAGGCCTTTCAGCCTGGGCTGGCGGGCAAGGACTACGGCAAGAGCGAGATGTCGTACGACGACTTCACAAAGCGGCCGAGCGGCATGGCGTTCAAGGAGGCGAAGCCCGGCAACGGAAAGTCGCCCGTCGCCGGCGACCGCGTCGTGGTGGACTGGAGCGGCTACACGATCGGCTACTTTGGTCGGCCGTTCGAGACGAAGAAGCTGGTCGAGCTAGACGGCAAGGACAAGGCCTACCTCCGCTTTGAGCTCGGAAAGGGCGCTGTCCTGCCCGCGCTCGAGGAGGCCGTTGCGGGGATGAGCGAGGGTGGAGTGTGGCAGGTGGTGGTCCCCTACCGGCCCGGCCTCAGCTACCCAGACGATGACAAGGACCACGAGCGGGTGGGTCCTGTCCCTAGCACCTTCTCGGGCCAACGCGCGCTCAACTTTGTGCTGTATAACAAGGACCTCATCGACAAGACGCTCCTCTTCAACGTCAAGGTGATCCGGGTGGACAGGCCCGGAGAGAACGGGTGGAAGAAGGGCTAGGCGCGCGCCCGCTCCACTGGGTGGAGCGTGGAGCCGGTGGAGGTGAGTCGTGAGTCTGCAGGTGAGCGAGCCGCGGCCCGCGCGGTCTCTGACGGGTATACCCACCACGGACTCGTAACACAGGCGCTCCGCCGTCTAGCAATTGACACCCAATGGAGGTGGGAGAGAAAACTGAAAAGTGCAAACGCCTGCGTGTCGCGCTTCGCACGCGTGGTGGAAGGATCACTCGTCGAGTTGCCCTGCCCGCCCGCCCCGACGCCTGAACGTGGCCTGGCTGGATGATTCTCGCCGCGCGGCGGCGTCGTCGCCAGCAGAGTCCGGCTGCCACGCTTCTGCCAAGCCCTCCTCGCCGTCGCCCTCGCCGCCCGCGTCGTCGTTCCACGCCTCGTCGCGCTCGTCGACGTGCCAGTTCCGGCGCGCGTTCTGCGCACGTGCCGCGGGAGGTGAGTGCTTGTCGTCTGCTGGGCGCTGGGCCGGAGGCGGCTCTGGGCGGCACCGGGTTTGCGAGAAAGTACAGCACACCGATCACGCCGAGAAGCCAGACAACGTACTCCACGTAGTCGCTCGCCGAGCCTGCTCGCGGAGCGGGCGGGCCGTTAGCCGCCGCGGCGGCGAGGCTGGCCGCCGGAGGTGGCGCTGGCACGCCTTCGAACCCCTCACCGAGGCGCCAGAAGTGCTTGAGCTTGTGCTGGTCCTCTTCGACCGTGCGGACGCGAGAGGCGACAATGTCGATCGCACCGGCGGGCGGCAAAAGCAGCAGCAGCAGCGGCGGCAGCGGCAGCGGCAACGGCGGAGGTGCCAGCGGCAGCTGCAAGCCGAGACGAGCGACGTGTCTAGCAAGCGAGGACATGGACCGGACTTTGCGTTTGCCGAACACAACGAGGGTTCGGGCTCCGAGGCGGTTAGGGTACATCGGTTTTCTGGAATTCTTCGCCAGGACACAACAGCGATTGCCGCGCCATCTTTCGGCTCCTGCCTTAGCACCACCGGGGGGGGAGGCGGCTGCCAGCCAGGTCTCCTTCTCTCATAGTGTCATACTCGGAGTTTTAGGTATGTTGTTGGCAAACCAAGACACAGAGCTCACACAGACCTCCCCGTCTTTGTAGCCTGGCGTTTGTGCCCCGTTTGTGCCGCGTCCCGTGCCCCCGAGTTCATTTCATATACTCGGAGTCGTGATTTCTGGTTGGTTTTCTAAAATCTCTCTCTCTCTCCGCATGGTCAGAAATTAAAATTCGGCAAAATTCAGCCCGATTTACCAGCGTGTTCGCAAGAGGCCAGAAGTGAGCGCCATCTCCCCCTGCACCAAACTGCACAGGGCCTTCTCTGTGCCATGTCGGACCGCGGCGAGCCCGACTGGGCCGAGTGGGAGGCGCTGTCCGCAGGCCTTCCGGGGTCCACGGATGTCGCCTGGTCCGCCGAAATGGAGGTCGACGCGGGGGCGGGTGTGGGCGCTTCGTCGTCGTCGACGATGGGGTTCGCTGCTGCTGAGGCAGTTGCCCCGGAGCTCGCCGACAGCGGCGCGGCGGGCGGCTGCGATCAGGTGGGCGACGACTCGGCCACCGCGTCCTCCGGGCCCGCCGCGTCCTCCTCCTTTGCTGTCGACGCGATCGACATCGACGAGGCCGACGACTGCGCTGAGGCTGGGGTCGCGGCGGCGGCGGCGGGGGAGGATGGGCAAGAAGCGGCCAGCAAGCGCAAAGTGTACGAGTGCAGCGCCTGCGGCCGCCCGAAGAAGAGCTGCGGCTGCCGCGTCCCTCCACGCGATGCGTCCGCCTCGGGCGCCCGCCGGACCTACAAGTGCAGCCGCTGCGGTCAGCCGAAGAAGGGGGGGTGCGCTTCATACGCACGCCGAGACGACCGCCCGCACGTCACCGTCCACCTGCCCCCCCCCCCCCCCCCCTTCCCCACACACCCGCCTTGCACTGCGCCCGCCACTCCCGCTCCCGCCAGGTGTGCCTGCAAGAGCAGCTGGGGCAGCGGAGGCGCATCTGGCAACAGCACGCCGCTGCCGTCGCGCCCTGGGGATGCTGGCGCGGACGGCGCCGCTGCGGCCGGCGTGGACGGCGCGACCGCGGGCACTGCAGCTCGGCCGGCTCCTGGACATTTCGCGGACTTTTCGTGGAGCGTTCCTTTAGGCGACACGTCTCTGGAGCGGAAGCGAAAGGTCCGCGAACCGTCCCCATATCTCCCCATATCTCCCCTTTAGGCGGCGCGTCTCCGGAGCGGAGGCGAAAGGGGCCTCCTCGGCCGCCGCTGCCGGCAGCCGACTGTCTTAGATGCGGGAGGAGTGCAGAGTTCGTGCGCGGTGAGTCGCACTCTCGACGGCACCGCACTCATGCACCGCACTGGCGCGTGATTTGCTCTCCTTGTCCGGACCAGCGCAGACAGGAAGCATACAGTTGGTGGCACCGGACGCGGCACAGACGCGGCACGGACGCGGCACAGACGTCAGGCTAGAGACACGGGGAGATGTGGGGAGATATGGGGACGCCAGGCTAGAGACACGGGGAGGAGCGTAGCATGACTCCGCGCAGACTCGACACGCCCGGCGGCTCGGGTCGCGCCTGCCCGCCCTCTCACCGGCTCTGCTTGCGGCGGCAAGGCGGATGCTGCGCTTTCGGGAGGGGAGAGCGACGGCGGCGGAGGCAGAGGCGCGGCCGAGGGGGCGGGGGAGGAGGCGGGGCGAGGAGGCGGCGGCGCGCGCAGTGTACAGCCCAAGCGCTGCTGTGAACGGCGTCTCCTTCACAGCCCTCGTCGGCTGTGAGCAGGCGGCGGGCGGCGCGTGTACATGTGTCGCACGTGCGGGCAGCCGAAGAAGGGGTGCGCCGACGGCTTGACGGCCGCGGGGGTCGCTATCAGCCGTTTGACCTCGTGGTGACTCGGGGCTCCTTCGGAGTGCTTCTAGGTGCCCATGCACCAAGGGAAAGGCCAGCCGCGAGGCGGCCGCTGCGGACGCAGCCGCAGCGGCGGCGGCCGCGGCGGCGGCGGCGGCGGCGGCGGCGGCGGCGGGGGCTGGCTGCGCTGGTGCGAGTGCGAGTGCGGCGGTTGGTGTTTCGGCGTCGGTGGCGGGGGGGGCTGGGGCATCGCTTCCGCCGCTGGTGCCGTCGTGGCCGATGGCGCGGTGGCAAGGGCCGCCCACTCTTGTGATTGTGTATGCGGGTGGGGCACGTTTAGGTTGCCGGGGCACCGGCGGGCGACGACGGCGTCGAGATCGCGCGAGAGGATCGCGACTCTCTAGCGGCGGAAGATGCCCATGTCTGCACTCCAAACACCCGCGCTCGGCAGGACACGTATTCCGCTGGACTCGGCCCGGCCGCATCGGGCTGTAGTCGCCGTATTCGCACCCCTCGCGTTCTCTCGGTGCTCTGAATGCTCTGCACGATACCGTCTTCCCGCCCTGAGGCTGGCGTCTGCACCTTCCCGCCCTGAGGCTGGCGTCTGCACCGCGCAGGACCTCGACGAGGACTTCGGCAGCCTCGAGCCACCGCCGCCGCCGCGCGTCCCGCTGCCAAGGCCGCCGACTTCCGACGCTCAAGCGTGACCAAGCCATCGTGACGGAGGAGAGATGCTGTTTGACGTTGTGTCTTCGTTAGGCCGGACACCATCGACCTCACCGGCGACGAGAGCAGCGCGCCGCCGCGTCACGCAGGCGGCGACACTTCCTAGACACTTCCTAGACACCTCCTAGACACTTCCTAGACACTTCCTAGACATTTCCTAGACACTCCCTAGACACTTCCTAGTGCCGCGTCACGCCGGCGGCGACACTTCCTAGACACTTCCTAGACACTTCCTAGACACTTCCTAGACACCTCCTAGACACTTCCTAGACATTTCCTAGACACTCCCTAGACACTTCCTAGTGCCGCGTCACGCCGGCGGCGACACTTCCTAGACACTTCCTAGACACTTCCTAGACACTTCCTAGACACTTCCTAGACACTTCCTGGACACTCCCTAGACACCTCCTAGACACTTCCTAGACACTTCCTAGACACTTCCTAGACACTTCCTAGACACTTCCTAGACACTTCCTAGACACCTCCTAGACACTTCCTAGACACTTCCTAGACACTCCCTAGACACTTCCTAGACACCTCCTAGACACTTCCTAGACACTTCCTAGACACTTCCTGGACACTCCCTAGACACCTCCTAGACACTTCCTAGACACTTCCTAGACACCTCCTAGACACTTCCTAGACACTTCCTGGACACTCCCTAGACACCTCCTAGACACTTCCTAGACACTTCCTAGACACTTCCTAGACACTTCCTAGACACCTCCTAGACACCTCCTAGACACTTCCTAGACACTTCCTAGACACCTCCTAGACACTTCCTAGACACCTCCTAGACACCTCCTAGACACCTCCTAGACACTTCCTAGACACCTCCTAGACACCTCCTAGAGTGGAGTCGCTCTCCGGCGGGTTCACCACTCAGACCCGCTTGGAAGCAAGCCCTAGGCGGTGCTGCGCCGCCGGTGGTGGCGCTGCCAGCGGCGGTGCCGCCGCCGCCGCGTCCCCGGCGTGTCCTCTGGCTGTGGATCACCTTGCCGAGCCCCTCTTTCGTAGGTGCCGGCGAGCGCACAGGTGAATTGGTTACTCAGATCTCGTCTACATCTCGGCTATATACTTAATTAGGTGCCCGTGCCGCTGAGCGCGCAGCCGGTGCCAGCGCAGCCCCTCCCAGTCGCTTACCCGTTTGGGGGCGGCGCCGGCGGGCGGGGAGGTACTCCAGCCGCCGCCGCGGTGCCCGTCAATGCCTTTCAGCAGCAGGCGACGGCGGCGGCGCAGCAGCAGCAGCAGCAGCAGCAGCAGCAGCAGCAGCAGCAGCAGATGCAGATGTTGCGCCAGGCGCAGGTCGTGCAGCCGCATGTGATGCCGCAGGCGCAGCCGTTCACGTGGCCACCCTACGACGCAAGGCTCCGGATGAGTCTTTCCCACGCTCTCTCTGTCAGTGCGTGTCGCGCCGTTTCACCCTTGCAGCTGTGAACAGGTTCCCGGTTGGCTACTACAACGCTGGCCTCCCTGCGATGGCATACTATCCGCCGCCACCGGGGATGATGCCGGTGCCCCAGCAGATGATGCAGATACAGCAGCAGCAGATGCAGCAGGCGCAGGCGCAGGCGCAGGCGCAGGCGCAGCAGCAGCAGCAGCAGCAGCAGCAGCAGCAGCAGCAGCAGCAGCAGCAGCAGCAGCAGCAGCCGCAGGTCGGAGGCACTGCCGCTTCGATGCAGCGCCAGCTTCAGGCGGCGCTCGCCGCACACAGCGCGCAGCCCGCCACATCGCCCGCGGCGGCCACGGCGGCAGCCATCGTGGCGGCCACCGCAGCGGCCAACGGCGTGACGTGCGTTCCCTCCCGCCCTGTCGCCGGCGCCGGCGCCGGAGGCGGCGGCGTTGGAGCGGGTGGCGGCCGCGACGGCGCCAGCGGGGGCGGGGGCGGAGGGGGCGGCGGGGGTTGCGGGCGGCGGCGGCCTCTCTCTCCTTCGGCGCTGCTGGCGGCGCATGGCGTGGAGCTTCCTTCTGCGTCAAAGCTCGACGCGGCGGCGCGAGACCAGCAAGCCGCGGCGAGCGGCGGCGGCGGTAGCGGCGGTGTGTTGTTGCCCGCGACGCTTAAGTATCCCGCTGTGCAGTTGGGAGGCGGGGGCGCAGGAGGAGGCAGGCCGCGGTGTTGGGGATGCGGCGAGGCGGCGAGGTCGGCGGCGGGCCGCGGGGGCGGCGCGGTGCAGCCTGGCCGGGGCCGAGCCCGGGGGAGGGGGGGGGGGAGGGGGAGGGGCGGGGGCGGCGGCAGAGGCGGCGCGTCGCCGCCCGCGCCAAAGGGCGGCGGCGGAGGGGAGGGGGCGGCAGCCGCCGACAGCGAGTCGGAGGGCGACGACGCGCCTTGCTATTGGGCGCAGTGCGACCGGTGCGACAAGTGGCGGCGGCTGCCGTTTGAGGACCGGTTCCGTCCCGAGCGG